GGGTTGGGGGGTGGGACTGGTATTCCATAGGTTGTGGGACATTTGTTTTTGTCATACACCCCTACTTGTGGGGACCTAACGTTACTCATGTGGACCTAAGTCTAGTCCCCATAAGGGGAAACACTGTTGGTGGGCCGGGGGTTATGTTTAGGACTAAGGTGTGAATTGAGTTAAGGTTAGTCTTAGGGTCAGGTAGGTACATGTGAGGTTAGTTTTAGGGTTGGTGGTCAGGAATAGGCTGTAGAAAATAATGGATGTCAATGCCGGGTCCCCATAAAGATACCAGATTGTGTGTGTGTGTGTGTGTGGGGGGGTATTATACACAGGTCATTGATAATTTCATTTTTCATACTTTTTAATGTCAAGACATGATAATCAGATTATACTCGAGATTTTATTATACATGAATAAATGCAGTATAACTGCAGATTGGATTCCAACAACAAAAACATCCAATTTGAAGTAAAAGAAAACCTGCTATCAGTTGACATTATATAATATTTTTATCACAAAGACAACTGTATTTCAAACCACCACCATAAACAAAGCTTACACAGATGCTCTGTCAGTTGTCCGATACTTAATTCCCCTGCATTCTGTAATCAGTTGTTTGGGAACAGAGAAAATGTTTTCGGTCAGGCAGACAATAACAATTTCCCATCTCCATTAATGTCTGAAAGGACAGCAATCCTTCATATTGTTCAGGCAGCCAGGAAATGGCCTGAATGACCRATGTTGTTTTGTATAACACCAGGAGACCACCAAGCCAATCTGTAGAATCCAATGATCAGAACCCAAATATAAATCCAGCTAATTGAACAGAGCAGAACAGAGGTCCCACCTTTCACATGCCCTCGCATGGAAAAAAAATGTTCCAAAAATTTATTAAGAAACCAGCTAAACTAATTCATAAAAAATAAATCCATAATTTTCGGTTTTGGATGAAAAACAGAGAGGAGGCTCCAGGCAAAGCAGGGAAATGGAGGGCAGGAGAGAGGGAAAAAGTGTATTACTCCTCTGAGAGCGGAACAAAAAAATAAATAAAGTAAAAATTGAGGGTGGATGTACAATAATGTACCTTGAGCATGAGTGTATGTGGGTGTGGTCTTGCGTACAATGAATCTAAATGATGGCAAGCAGGGTTAACATAAACAAAGTGAATTACTTGATTTCTCAGTCATTTTCCACAGTGTCTTTGGTGAAAAAATTGGAGATGAAGAAGTTGGGGCCATATGAACCAAAGGATATTCAAATCCTGCAAAAGGAAAAGCGGTGAAACCAAAGTTTTTCTGTGACCTGATTTCAGCAAAAGGACTGTCAAACAGAAAGTGGAGCTAACAAATTTATTTTCTGCTTGAAATTTTATTTGAAACTAGGCTGTGGATCTAATTTCTCCTGGATGTTTACTTCGACACGTGGCTCCTCCCCCACATCTCTCCCCTCTCACTCCATGTAATCTGATCACCTGAAGGCCAGTCTGGAGCTGCGCCAAAACCAGTGTTCTGAACTAGGGCTTAACTATTTTGGAAAATAATATAATTGCAATTTTTTATCTATAAATTGTGATTGTGATTTAATATCAACAATAACATAAACATCTGGCTTTTTTAATATTAAAAAAGGAAGTTGGCCTGTTACCCATTGAAAGCTATTAACACATCACATCATGAAACAAGAACAGAGAAGCTGAACCATTAAGAAGCAGAAAAGCAATATTTGTCACCTCATTCTGTGTTTCCAAAGTGTCAATAAAAAATGATGAAGTGGTGCCAGAGTAAATATTTTAACATTTCAACTTTTAGAGCTAAGACTTCAAAAGGGCTGGTTTTTTTACACAGAAACAAAATGTTTTCATTCATATTATTTGAATGGCTATGATTAAACAAATAGTTTCTCTACCTCAAAGCTTTTTTTTTTTTACTGGTGAGTTTTTTCAAGGCTTTTTCACATGCTTCTGTAAATGAGTCTGTCGTTTACTGGAAAGGTGAATGGAACAAAAGCCTTATTTGGTTATTTTTTTGTCTTCATCTACTCACTTCAATGGAATTTGTTTATCCAAGCTATGTGTGTGTGGTGTTTTTTTAGTTGACTTTTATTCATTTATTTTTTTTATAATACAGGCAATCGTGTCACTTAGTGTTAATCAAGATTACTTAAGTATTAACCAATACAAAAATAGCTTTGATTTGTATAACTCTTTAAAGTTCATCATTTCCACTTTAAAAAGTCGTAAAGAAATTGTAAAAAAAATTGTGAAATTTTAACTGAATTCAAGAAGGCAGAGACAGAAATGAGCCATCTAGCTACTTTCAGTGTGTCCGTACAGGAGCGAGACAGAAGGGAGAATACACAACAAATGATTCGCTGGAATCTTCACGGGGGCTACTTTGAGCTCGCTCTCATTGTTAAGCCCACCTGAGTGCAGAAAAATAATAATGCTGAATCACACAGAGGATATCCAGTTTAATAATGCCAAAGCCTGTTTATATCAGTGTCAGGGGTTGGGTGGTTAATCCAGCACACATCCCTGGTTCAGATATTAATATTGTGTTGGTAAGCTGTGGGCTGAGACTGGCTGTCATGCTTGAGGAGACCATCCCCAGCTCGACATCATCTGCCTCCTATGAAAAGAGTTAGAGGGGAAGGTACATAGTCCATTGGATTTAGCCATGGTGTTCAGCTGTATTGGATCGGTGTTCCTGTCACAGAAGGACAAGAGAAACCTGTTTGTGTCTGTGTCATTGACTTAACATTTCTTCTCTGGTTTGTTGTCGGCAGGATTTATGAGCGGGTGATAGACCCTCCTCAGATGGAGCTCACCTTGGGCAGTGGAGTGTGGCTAGGCCAACACAGCCACAAGCATGGTTTATTCAAGGTAAGACTCTCGCCGGATGATGCACACGCAGCCACCCCTGCACGCACACACACACACACACACACACACACACACACACACACACACACACACACACACACACCATGCAACTGAACGTGTTTCGCATTCAATAATGCCCTGGTGTAATTGGCCACATTTGCTGTAGGCTGTAGGGGAAGAAATACAAGAGTGAGATTCGAAACAAAAGTGCTGAGGGCTCCGAGGAGCTGCACAAAGCTCAGCATGTGCTTTGAAATGATTATTCCCAAGGCCATCGCAGCATTGTCGATTTTTGATCGTTGCTCATTTTCTCMGGCTCCTGCGTGCACTCGCAGCAGGTGGGGCACATCGCAAAGTATTTCCAGGACAGACAGTCTTGATATTCATAGTTCCTCCCCCTACCTGTCATGCAATCAGTGAGCTTTCTGTTTTTCCTTTGTAACTTATTGATTAGACACRCCAGCCTAGTGGGGTGAAAATTATTTGTCCTCCCTGTGGTTTAAAACTGTGGCTGCCGGAGTGGAGTGCTTTTTCTTATCCATCTTTTTGTCTTCTTCTTCATCTCCTTTTGCACAAATACTTCAAAGAGCCACTTCCCATAGAAAGACTATAGCCAATGACACATCTCACTCATCCGTCTCTCTCCTTTCAGTCATCTCAAGTATGTTCTGTCCGACATGTGCAGTGAGTGTTCGAATGTGGATGTCAGCGGCAGAGACAGAAGGTGTGAAAGAGCGGAGCCTTGTGTGAAGTGACATTGAATGAAGAATATTTCCCCTCAGGTTTTTTCTAAGATCTTAGCATCTCGGCTGACAGGCGCACTTGTAGCACCTTGAAACAGAAACATGTTGTTTAGTGAATCAGAAGAGCCATTTTTAGCTGCTTCACCTTTGAAAGGTCTGTTACTCCTTCTCAGAAAATCACCAGGGTCATACTACTGTACRGTAGAGAGGGCAATTAACTGTGTGGTGCAAAACACACGAAAGCAATAATACTTTCACAGCCATCTATTTTTTTTTATTTATGTTTGTTTTTTTATTACTGCAAAATGTTCAGATCTCTTTAAAACACACTACTTTCACACAGCAGGCAAATATGACCCATTGTTTTCATGATAGTCTGAACATGGCAAATCCGACCCAGGTCTTCTCAGTTTTTGGTACTAAATTGGATACATATCTGATGTTTTTCAAAGCAGCCTCAGTCTGAAYGGTCATGTCTCATTTGATTTCATCCAACTTTTATGTCAGTGAGGTAGTGAAACACAAATTGATCCAGGTATTTAGAATAATGATACCAGCCTTGTGCAGTTTAAATCTTCAAACTCCCAACATCTTCAGCTACAGAGCAGAAGTCCAGTTACTTTGTCTTGTTCTTTGAATTTGTCATGTACTGGATGAATCCACAGCGACGTATGATGGTAACATTAGTGTCGGATCGCATCAATGCTAAAATTACAAGATTGATAGTTTAGTTAGTTTCACTTTCACTTCCACTTCAAAAATTCATTTCTGCTTTGAAGTAGCGGACTAGTGGCAGGTTCAAATGTAAACACYRGATGAAACAACTGGTATCATTGGTCTTGAGTAAGAGGAGACCACAAGCAACTCTCACAGCCAACCCTGGCCACTGTTGATTAAAGAAGTTGTGTTTCGGTTGCCAATTCTCATTCTCTGATGAAGTTGCTTCCCTGTTTGTTAGCGAATAAGCATCGATTTACATTGATCCTCTCATTATGCGGTTACCTTTGGTCCATTTAATCTTGCTTTATCCAGYTGATACAGTTTCAGCAGAGTGACCAGAGTGACACGTTTGGTCTTTGAAGGAATTAACATTGAAGGCGGCCTTTACTTACTGCAGCAGCTTGTTGAAAGTAGTTTGTATTTGATCCAACTTTCACACTTTGCTAGCATAATTTTAGCTGGAAACTTGAATTCAGATCTTTTAACGACATTCAAACACATTTGTGTATCGTCAATGTTGGGCAGAAACCATGTATTTTGAAAGAAAGCTTCCAAGAGCTTTTTTTTTTTTTTTTTTTTTAAAAGGCTTTTTATTGAACTAGCATTAAAAATATGAATGTGAAAGTTGAACAACAAAGTAAAAAAATATAAAAACATAAAAAACGGAGAAAAACAGATTTTTCACCTGACAGTGACTACATAATATTTGCTCCACCAGAATTCAGTTGTAAAACAATCTGAAAAAAAAAACATCAGTTATATTTTACCTTTTTAAAATTAAGTTTCAGTTTCACTGAGCTTCCCATCATCTCTCACTCTAGTCTGATTCAGTCTGGGCACTAATGTAAGAGTTTTGAAATCAAGACTGACAGACCTTAATGCAACATCGACACAGATTGAAGAAGACAAAAGTAAGACTGAGTTAAAACAAATTGCGTAACTCCATGCTGCATGTCTTTTTTTATATTTTCTCTTCACTTTCCCTCAACCTGCACCTTATTTTAACGGCTTTAAAGCTGTGAGCTGCTGAGAGAAAAGAGGTGAAGGAAAGAGAAAAATATCCATAAGCTATGTATGTAACTCCACTGATAGGAGCTGAAATAAAGCAGCACTTGCTCAGTCTATTCAGGACTTAGAAGTAGAATACTGATAAGATGGGATAACTGGGCCTTAAAGTAAAACATATTGAGCTTGCTTGCTGCTTTGTGATGCTTCTTTYTCTTTCACCACCCCATCCTGAGAGTTTCTCCATCTGAGGGAGCAACTGTAATAAATTATCTTTATCTAGAATCCATTGTGCTAAGGAGGCTGCTCCTCAGGGAGCTTGTTTGAAACCAGAGCTTTTGTAAAATGCTTTCTGTTTCATGCACCACTGGATGATAATTACATTAATATGGACAATGATGGAAAGGCTGATTGTGTTGCATATGACAGCCAGAGCTTAGATCTCATACACAGTCTGTATTTTTTTGTCTTTTGTTTTTCTACAGCCCTCATTCACAGTACCTTATGCATACTCTTTTGCTTAAATTAGTGCATATCAAACTTTTCAACGTGGCGATGACAGCTTTTCTGCCTTCACTGTGTGCCAAATCAAGTAAGAGAGGTACTAAAAGATTTTGGTAGAATTAATAAAAAGAAGAGTTTGCATTAAATGTTTTTTATGAAGTTTTGGTTTGAAATGATTTATAGTTGTGTAGTTAGTACTGGGGTCCAGTAGGTTTTGAAAATGCTTTACTATCCGCATTACTGACCTTTGGAAACACCAAAAAAGCCTGTAACGCAACAAATTTTACAGATAATGAGCTAACATTTTGTGGASTACTAGCTGAGAGTTATCTCCACATACTTTGAGCAAAATCTGTTTTGTAAAACCATCAGCCATTTCACAAATGCTGTTTAGCACTGCCTATTGGATACAAAATACAGTTTRTGGGATTGTTTAGTGGCAACCGACAGTGAAGTTAGTGATGGACAGGTTCTCAAATTTAGAAAATTGAAATAACGTGCTGCTTAASTAAATTTCCTTTAGATTCTGGATCTATCAGTTTCAGCACTGTCATGCTGTTTAAATTGTGGGATTAATGAGAAGTGATGAGCAGGTGGAAACAGTCATGAGAAGGCAACTAGAGTTGGATGGTGCCTACATACAGTTTTGAGGAAGGCTTACTTATGATTCTACAAATGCTGAGTATTAAAATTAATATAATGCAGATTTCCACTTGTGACGTAATGCATATCATTATCTGCAGCTCTCGCAAATGATTGGACAATCGCTGTGGATTATACAGAGTTTCAGTGGTAATATCATAACAGAAAAAATAGAGTAAATTTTGACACATCCAACTTCAGGAACCACAGGAAAGTTCAGTTCAGTTTCAAACTTTATTCATTTCTTAAAAACAAAAATAATTATATGTATATGCCCCTTGTTAGATGTCCACTGTAGTGCTGGATATAAAAACAACAACATTAAGTCTTCTGTACCTGTTTATTAACAGAAAGGGCAGGGATAGGATCGGSGTGGTCCTGTGTTGGTCTTTTGGAGTAGATGTTAAATCCATGGTTGCACTTTTTTTCATGTCAAACTCAGCTCATCCTGCCACTCAAATCCAGCTGTTAGCAAGCATCTTAGCTTGAAAAAAGTGACAAAAAATACTCTGTTCATGTGGGAACGATGGCTGTATCCAGAGTGACTGTTATAATGTTTTGTGGTTCTCCCAGTGGAGTTGGATGCTATTTGATCAAATATATCTAAGTGTAAACACAGCTAAATCTCACACACATGATGGAAAACAGTAGAATTGCTATGAGAGTTCATACACACACGGGTGTCGAGTGAACAAAGTCATGTGACTACTGTTCTAAAATGAGAGATCTTCATTACAAACCAGATTTTCTTTGCAAGACAAAGCATTTTTGTGCCTTTCATTTACATCTACATATAAATGAAAGCAACTGGACTTGAAACTATATTTTATTATATTAATCTAAATTCAAATATAAATTTTCTGAATAGTGACTTTATAATTACAAGCAAGACGAATGGTTAGCAACATGAATAAATTAAAGGAATTTTAGCACCATATTTTTTCGTATGTTTATCTATTTTCCGCCCCTCTCTCTCATAAAGTTAATTATTGTGAGATGAACTGCAGATAGAGCTTAAGTCTCCAGACCCTGATGGAATACAAAAAGGTCATGTTTTGAATGATCWAACAGAGGTTAAAGATCTGTATGAGAAAGTTGTTCCCAGACAATACAAACGTTTACCAATGAACCTGTTAGCAGAATTCAGGCAAAACATTTTTCACCAGTAAAGTTTTGTGAAACAACAAGATACCCTGAACTTGAGATAATAAAAGTGAGTTAACACAGAGAGGGACGTATAATTTTATCTAATAACTGTCTGTCTGTAAACGTCTAGGAACTGATGGAAACATTTGATGGAGTTTCAGTCCCATTCTTGTTTGATGTAGAATTCTAGCTGTTTAATAGTTCTGGTTGTTCTTTTTTTATGTTTGTTTAATGATGTGCCAGATTGACTGGTTTTAGCTGATATGAGGTATGAACTGCAGAGAAGAAAGCTCAGCACAAGACTCTTCTACTACAAAGCTATCCTGTTGTCACGGATTCAGTATATAGCTTGGCATTGTCTTGCTGAAATGCAAGACTCTGTATGGATGGGAACATACAGTTGTTCTAAAACCTATATRTACCTATCTGCATTATAGGTGCCTTTGCAGATATGAAATCTGCTTTTATGCCATWGACAGTGATGCATCTCCATACCACCAGAGAGGCAGTTTATYTTTTTACTGTGCTCTGTTAACAGACTACAGAGTACCTGGCATCTGCAGGTCTATAAAAAATTTCAACAAACAGGTGTTCTGATCCGGGGGGTTCTGACTGGTCACTGAGTGTGTATATGTGTCTGTG